CCGGATGTGACATGGAACTGGACAGGCGGACCGGAAACTCGACAGGAAAAGACAACCGGATATACGGTAGGATTCTGATTTTTCTCCCTTAAACTATACAGTTAAAACGTGCTCATTCCTGTTATTCGATTCCACCAAGAACGACGTCCAGCAGAATTTATTAGATAATTAATTTCGCCCGGAGCTTTCCAAACGCGGCGTTTCATTTTATATGATTGTAATTTGCTTCATGTCTATATGTCTAAGTCATCACGCCAGACGTATACAAAAGAGGGACAAAGAGTTCAATTATCCTCCGCCCTAAAGAGTAATGGGCCGGAATTAATCGGCGAGGAGTACAAGGCTTTATGCCTGGATTAGGATTAACTCGATCGCGTTCCGCACACACTTTCAAATTTAAATCCCACCCAAACTACTCTATATAAATATATGTAAGTGTATTTTCTATTGTGAAAATCCGGATCATGTCTTGTTCTATATCCGGAATATTTAATCTTTCAAATCTACTGCCAAGCAATATTATGCCGTCAAAACAGAATCGTAAAATTCAATTGCATTCCATTCTTTAATATGATCCAGTTTATTACTTTACATTATAAAAATATGCAGAACTTATATTTATATAAAAATCCTTTGCGTAAAATATTATAACCTTGAGCTATCACACTGTTGAAAATATTTTATGAACTATAAATATCTTTGCAAAATATTAAATATTTATCATAATAAAGGTATTAATGTTCAATAATATTAAAAAATATAAACTATTTCTCCAACTCGAATTTTAATAATAATAATGCATTGATAATTTATTAATATTGTATAATATAGAAATTTGTTATATAGTTTGTTTTTGTGTTATTATTTACTAAATACATTAATTTTATAATATGAATATAAATGTAATATTAATATTTCAAAAGAAATTATTATAATTATGATCTGAAGAAATGAAAAAATATATAGTCTATGCTTAATAATATGGTAACACAAAGAAAAAATGAATTAATTTGTTATAATAAAAATATAATCTTAGGTGTTAAAATTTCACATATATTAAATGTTGATAACCAAAATTTTGTTCGGAATGTGTGACGATTTTCATTTATGTTTGGAATCTGAGGTGTTGGAGAACCGAGGTTTAATTGTGCTTGGATTTATCATTAATCTATATAGCATAGGAACATGTTACAAAATTATTAATTGGATGGTTTATTTGTTGCAGATTTAATGATAACGCAATAAATAAATATATTAATCAATGGTTAAAAACTGAAGTTAAATTACTTTAAATGTTAATAAAATTCTTGTCAATGGTATAAACCTGTATTAACATTAAACTGATATTATTGATACCGTCATCTAATGGTTTCCTTATTAAAAAAGACGTATTAGTATATTGCTCACACTTGCAAGGCTTCGTCCTTGTATGAAGCGAACTCAAGAAGATAAATCCGGATCGGAAAGCAATCTGTACATGTATAGAATCCAGTACCTCTGCCGTTGTATTTTTTTCCCTTTGGGCTTGCATCCGCTTCCAATAAATCTATGAAATCCCAGAATAGAAGTAGTAATACAAAGGTTGATCCGCATGTTCGGAAAATAAAAATAAAAGAACAGAGAGAACCATTGAGGGAAAGAGAAAATGTTGGAATAAATCCGGACTCTCGCTTTTTGCTGTGGTGTAAGTTAGCAATTCTAACCAGTATATTCGTAAAGAGTATGGGAAAACAGACAGAGAGAGAGTAAAAATAAAATAATAATGCAAGAGGAGAAATATATAAATTCGATTCGGCCGGGGTTAATCTAATGCTACTATTCGAATTCGTCGGATAATACAAAGCTTTGATGTTCCCCACATTTTAAGTACTTTTTATTTATAAAAGTTCCTCCATGGCTGCGTATTTGGGGAAACCAAATATTCGCAGACCGCAAAATGAAAAAATAGATGGAAAAATAAAAAATCAACGAAATGGATCCGTGGGGCTGTGTTTGTTTCATTTGTAATATAACGTATGAATGAAAAAAAAAAAAGTTTCATATTTGCATATGAAGCTTTTCCGTTATCAAATTAATTCCGTTTTTCAATAGTAATTAAAAAATATATATATTTCCAATCGTCTGTATAATTATGTTTTCTACTATTTTGTTATCTTATTGCATCAGATCTCGAGATTTAAATTTTGCGCCATCTTTTGTATAAGGTTAGCAAGTCCAAAAATTGTATACGTGTCATTTGTTAATATTGTGGAGGAGGGGCGGATATATCCATGGATATATAAACTATGCAAATGAAAATTGCATAATCGAATTTTAATTCTTAGCAAAGCGATACTAGTTTTTTTTTTCAGACGGTGCCGTCATGTTAAGGTTATAAATCTTGCTTTAACGTTAGTTCTGTAGAGGCATTACTTGAGTTATCAAAACACGTCACCACATTGAGGTTCAGATTCTATCTGCGCACGTCAAAATGCTCCTTCTGTAAAGGGTTAATTTAAAGTGTGTAATGGTTTCGTAATGTGATCGTAAACTTCGAAGAATGTTTAGTCGAATTAATTATTTAAATAAATCATTAATTTGAGGATTACAAAATCTGGTTTGTCTGAACCATATTTTACTCGAAAATATTGAATAATAAGAATTAAACATTTCTCTCTTTGAATTAACAATAAATACATTATTGTGAAAAAATATGGACAAAAAGTCAAGCGGTTAGAAGAACTTTAATTTATTTTTAAATATTGTAATGTAAAAATGTTATAATTCGGATACTTTTCTGTAATAATGTGAGTTATGCATGTCTAGCATTAATGAATTTCCATTGAAGATTAATAAAATTTGCAGGCGTGAGCGCGTCTATAGATGGGTATGTATGTACGTAGATTGTTAAAAAAAAGAGGGTTAAATGAGGCCGCGAGCGAATGGGCGGCGATTTAAGGGCATTTCGGAAAAGGGCACATTCCTGGCGCTCTTCAGTTGTAAGCGTTGGAAGGTTCGCATAGTTTCCCTAACCTCGGCCCGGCATCATAAAGGGATCCCACTCACTTCATCTCGCTTCCTCTCGTATGGACTGCATCTATCTGTCTGCAGAATTACATAGAAGGGCACACCTGGAAAGCAAGCTGTATTACTTTACACAAAGTTCGCTGTGTAACAAGATTAGTTTAAATGAAGAATTCAAACCGCGACTTTAATGCACATATCTTCTTGGCGAAAACTTCACCTCACTCACGTTGGTTGCCCTTGCTATGGCTGCTCCACATTTTAGATCACGACCCACAAACACTGTTAGAATATTTGCGTCTTTGCTTTATGTACGTTGAAATTCTTTACTAAGAAAGATTCTGACTTTTCATATAAGTAACATACATTATTTTACAACTGAAATATTCTATTATTTATGGAACTATTGCATTATTTTTCACTTAATGGAAAAAGTTTTAAATCTGTAGTGGGAAATGAAATTGCATAATAAAATAATCTCTTTGTTTTAGATTTGTAAAATACATTATTCAGACCTATGTGCAAATTGAACATAAATATAATATATTTTTGTAGGCAGACTATATATTTCTGTAATTACCCCTATTTAATGCTATGAAGTAGTCCATTCATGTTTAATTGGATGTTAATCGTTCTGTAATTGACTAATTGCAATACGCATTAACCTAATCTGCATTACTGATTTGCAGATTAAGTACATTCATATTCTTGTTGTTATATTTATACATATTTTTTACATTTCATTAATCTGTTATACACAGTTTCCAAAATATATAATAATTATTGCAGAAATTTTATATTGAAAAATTGCTATTTTCAGATGTAAAAATACTAAGACTACTATTTTTTTATTATGTCGTATAATTTTATTCACAATCTGTTATGTTGAGAAATTTAAGATCGCGGTTGACATTAATTGGATAATCTTTCCCGGTGGATAGATTTTTAATTTGTTGGTTGGATGTCGTTTTGTAGGTTAACTTCAGTAGTATATTGATGCTCTGCTATTCCACTATTTCCTTTTACTGTGAATCTGCTGCTATCGATAGTACTGAAAATCCATATGCTGAACCTCATTCATTTCACTGTCCATCTGTGATGCATGATGGCAAGCACCGAGAGGGCTTAGAAAGGGCTTGGCTTGACCAGGATTTGAACCTATGTCCACTAGATCGTGGGTAGGGCGACTTAAACATTCGGCTATTAGTCGCCCTGTAAAGAAAATTAAAAGTTATTTTTCGAACAAAGAAAAGTTTTCTTAAATTATTTAGAAACCTATTATAAAGACGAAAAAAAATGCAGAAGAAATAAAAAAAATTCTTCGAAATTTTTATTTGTTGAATCTTATATTTTTATTATTTATTATAGCAACATATATTTTTGGTTTTTTTTCGATTTCATATTTGGATATTCAGTTCACTTTGAGACGCTGAAGTGCTATGATGCGATATTCTCTGCTCCGCCTTGAACACGAATATCATTTGAATATTCAAAGCGAAGAGTGATAAATTAGTACAATTTATTGCGTATAGCATAGTTTTGAATAAACAATAATGAGTCAATACGTTTAGTGCTCGTAAGGCCTTTCAGAATGGCGGACGAAGGTTCTTCGCCCGAGCCAGAAGAAAAAGAAAGAGAGCGAAAAAAAAAAACGAAAAACATATACCGATTCAGTGGAGCAAAAAAAACAATCACGCGACAAAACGTTGCCATCCAGGCAAAACAACTGAGTGTGGAAAGTTGCAGCACAAACATCAGCAACACAGAATTAGGACTCTGTTTAATTCTGTGTTGCGGCTGTTGTTGCTGAGCTGGAAGAATACAGAACAAAAATTACCGGCTTAGAGAACGTCATCAAAGACCAACAACAATTACTCCAAAGACAGGGAAAATACTTTTGCAACAACAGCAGCAACAGCAACAACAGAAGCAACAAAACAAAATTAGAACAAAACCCATTCAAAAACATCCAATACTGATCAACAATCCGTATTCAGTTTTAACCAGCACATCAGCACATGACATGGAGGATATCATTCCTGAAGAAAATAATGAACATAGAGAAACCCCCACCACCATCAGTTGGGACAGATGGGGTACTCTGTGGTGAATATCACCAATATCCACAGCAGTGCTGATAAAACAAAACCACTACCAATATTCTTCATAGACCTGCAGGCCTGCTAGCGGCCTAGTCTAATATGCCCAAGAGGTGGTATGGTTTATAAAGCACCACAACGTAGACGTTCTCTTGGTGTCTGAAACACGATTTACAAACAAAAGTTACATCGACATAGCAGGTTACAGCACATACACAACAAACCACCCTGATGGCGAAGCACATGCAGTAAAAGCTTTAATAATTAAAAAATAAATTAAGCATTGCGTAATTCCTAACTATCAGCAAGACTACCTTCAGGCGACAAATGTCGTGCATATCTAAACGGCTGAATCCTCCAAGATTGAGTAACAAGTATACACTATGGGAATACTTTAGAAAATGCCTTGATCAAACAATCATAAGGAACATGAATCTGAAATCCAAAGAGGAATTGGAAGAAGCTGTAGAAAAACTTATTACTTCTACACAAAACGCTGCCTGGAGTACACCTGCTACAGGAACAAACAACTTAAAGCATGGTTGTCCTGCAAACATCAGAAGGGCAGTTACGGAGAAGAGGAAGCTTATTAAATAGATCAATTAAATAGCTGAAGGAAATGCTTGAAAGGGAAGCAGAAATGCTTGACAGGGAATGAAGAACCTTACAATTATTTGAGCAGTCTTTCACCTTCTGCAGCCTTCAACTATTCCTTGTGGAGAGCAACAAAAAACCTGAACAAGGCCGAATTGTTGGCTCACCATCTGTCCAGCGTCTTTAAGCCATTCTCATCGAGCTCGAGGATGCGGTCGACAGCAGTACCTTGCTTCACCATGCCAAATGTCTCTCTCAATAACTCGCTTCAAGGTTAAGGAAGTGGAGGTCATAATCCAGCGTGGGATAAAAACAGGAAAGGCACCTGTCTACTATTTAACCAAACTTCCTTGCTGTGGAACTAACTATCACACAGAACCATCGCCGAATATTGAAGCATTTCAAGCCTCAAGACATATCAAATGATTTTTAGAACAAACAGTTCATGGGAGAATGTCTTGATTGTGCGTTTGCCTTCCATGTGTTTAAGTTAAGTTTGGTCATTGGATCAATCAATGAAACCAAAACAAAAATATAAAAGAAGTCTTTTATATTTTTGTTTTGTTTGTTTTAATTGTCACAAGTCTAGTTCATTATCTTATGTAAGACAGATGGCCGAAAAAAAAAATTTGGGCATGCAATGCATTAAAACCATGCGGAATGCAAGTTTAATAATTGCTGACTTGTTGTATAGACAATCAACAAGTAATTCATTCGACGCATAGGGAATTCGATATGCAGGGAACTCTAGCAACAATCGCATTCCGAGGCATGTAAACACTGCACAGCAATATGCACTTCAAGTATAGACACTTCCGCCTTGGAATTTCGCTGGGTAAAAGGATCGGATGAATGTTCGATGATATCAATAAACATCGAGCATACTGTTTTCGCTTACAAAAAGATCATTATCGCCGCTGCACCATACTACATCACGTTTTATAATTAATTATTCACACGCACTCGATTGAAGCGGAATAATTTATTAATCTTACATAAAGATACTCTCTCAAACCGTTCACTAATTTTACTTGATATGATTTAAAATTTATTAATTAATAAGACAATATAGTATAGTAAATTGAATCATTTAAATTACTTTTGTGTTAATATATAAAGAATTTTGAAACAGTCTACATACAACAATATTTCGCATACTCCTGCTTCCATTAGTCCGGACTCACTATAGTCGAGTTTGCATATTTTAATTAAGCAAAACTAAAATAAATTTATGAAAAATCGTCTATACAGTCAAGTAAAGTCTTTGATTAGTCCGGTAACAAACAATCATTGACACAACTGATATATCATATGTAATTTGAATTTATAATTAATAAATAAACTATAACTCGGTATAACTGTATCTTTGACATCTCGCACACTGTGGGATGTCGTATCTGCGGTGCGGCTCTGCCGGAATTTGATTTTGTGGATGTCATTATTGTTCGTACTCGGAACTATGTCCACGAAGAACAACGGTAACGGTTCTTTGATGAGTTTGCTTCTTATGTTTTTTATGTTTTTAACACCGTGACCGTATTCTTCAATTTCTTGTTTCATACCTTGCACGTTCACCGACATGTGGATATTTTTCACCACACCCCCTGTTTTAGTTGGTAGGTGTGGAAGGCCGTTCTCTCTTTTATAGCCGTGTAATTTTCTGATGTTTTTCGCAGAATTTTTACGTTGTCCTTTCCATCCACCTTCAGGAAATATTTGGCATTGTAATCAATTGTTGGTATAAATTCATTAATATCCATGATTCCCGGCACTATAAACGGCAGCGGCTTAGCTTCTTATGTTGTTGCCGCTTACGTCTTTCATATTTAAGTTTTCATTGCTAAGAACCTGGAATCTATTTTTTTATCAAAATCATTCGTCACTATCTTCTGTTTTCTCAACATCTCTCCAATTGTCTGTGGAATTTTGAATGTTTGAATCACGTTGAAATCGCACTCTGAGCTTGTATCACACGCACTATTATCTCCTGGAATATTTTTGATCGTAGTTTTAGGACCTTCCCTTTTTCTTCTTGCTGGCATATAATTTGACCCACCGGCTGCGACGAAATGTCACAATACTCGTGTCCCGGCACTATCAACGGCGGCGGCTTAACTTCTTTTGTTGTTGCTGTTTACGTCTTCCATATTTAAGTTTTAATTGCTGAGAACTTGGAATCTGCTTTTTTATCAAAATCATTCGTCTCTATCTTCTGTTTTCACAACATCTTTCCAATTGTCTGTGAAATTTTGAATGTTTGAATCACGTTGAAATTGCACTCTGAGCTTGTATCACAAGCACTGTTATCTCCTGGAATATTTTTGGTCGTAGTTTTAGGACCATCTTTATTTCTTCTTGCTGGCATATAACTTAACCCACCGGCTGTGACAACATGTCACAATACTCGGCAAAATAAATTCTATTAATTAAAACAAATTAATAGTTAAAAATGTTTGAATCACGTTGAAATTGCACTCTAAGCTTGTATCATACGCACTGTTATCTCCTGGAATGTTTTTGCTCGTAGTTTTTGGTGCATCTCGTTTTCTTCTTGCTGGCATATAATTTGACCCACCGGCTGCGACGAAATGTCACAATACTCGTGTCCCGGCACTATCAACGGCAGCGGCTTAGCTTCTTTTTTTGTTGTTGACGTCTTCATTGCTGAGAACCTGGAATTTGTTTTTTATCAAAATCCTCAGATTATTCGTCTCTATCTTCTATTTTCTCAACATCTCTCCAATTGTCTGTGGAATTTTGAATGTTTGAATCACGTTGAAATTGCACTCTATTAATTAAAAAAAAATTAATAGTTCTTTCTTTACTCGATGTCTTCTGGGTATCCTCGAATTTGATCCCCTATTTGTTTGTCCATAATTTTGTGAGTCATCAACTACAATTTCCTGCAGTCTTAGTGACATCAACTATTCCCTAGCCATATCTACACAATTGTTATTATATTTTATTTTATTTTTTTTTAACTTTTCTTATTTAATCACAATCTGCCAACATCTCGGCAACAAGTCGAATGTTTTTTTGGCCAAGACAAGAAAAAAGAAAATAAAAACAGAAAAAACAAAAATTTAACTACAATTTAACTTAATCCAAAGACAATATTAACCTAACAAAAAATCGATTTTGACGACACTATGAAAATTAAATAAAAATATTCATTCTAATGAACAATGAAACGAACTTTTAGTTTCTAAAGGGGAGGTCGAGGGTGGTTACACGCCACTTCATACATTCAGGGATGCCACCATTCCATTTTCTTGTTTTTTTTTTAATTTTCTGATGGCAATATATCTTCGTGCAAGGACTCATTTGAAGAACTGGTTAGTAGTAAAGTTTTATTGTATCTTCGCTTTCGAGAATTCTTTTTACGATTTTTACCCCACATCGCTCAGATAAAAATATTGAAGATCAAATATAAATACAGTGGAACCTGTATAAATTGTGGAGCAAAATAAATTGTAAAAAATGACTCGCATAACGACCGACTTTTGGAATCTGTATGTAATTATTTTATGATTTTGTTATAAATATATTTTCATAAATATTGTTATTACTATTATTAATTTTGTTTTTTATACATTGAGATTATTAACTTTTTTACAACTTTTTTTCTTCGTATTTCTCAATATCAAAATGGGGACATTTTGATATTGACCTCTTTTCGGTTTCGTTACAATCTATCAAAATATTAGTAAATGATGTAATTACGGAAAAATTGTTGCTATTACAGAAATATGCTCATATAGAATGTTGCATTTATCGAAGTTTCAGTTATCGAATGTTTATTGTTTATTAACTTTAATGTACAGGTGCAATCCATTGTCGTGTCCCAGGGATGGAATTCTGGACACAGTAAAATATTGACAGGTGTTTTCGTTGTGGAGTCTTAATAGTAGGGAATCTAATGAAATTTGTTTGGTTATACATTACTTTATTCGTTACTTGGTTGTATTAAGATTAATTTGAGACTATGCTCGTCATATTATGATTCTTATGAGACTATGCTCGACATATTACGATTCTTATGAGACTATGCTCATCTTTAAAGGTTCTGCTAAGACTAATTCTAAATACATATTCTACTTATAAAGTTGTGATTGGGAGTAGGGCTTTATGTATATTAATGATTAAGCGTTCCCACGGCATGGATGGTTTTGTTTATTATGAGCCCGGGTAAAAATCCTTTGCATTTATTTATATGATTTATAGGGCGACTTATAGCCGAATGATTAAGTCGCCCTATTCACGAGCTAGTGTACGCAGGTTCAAATCCTGGTCAAGCAAGGCCCTTTTTGAACCCTCTCGGTGCTTGCAGCAATAGGGCCATTGTTCATCACAGATGGACAGTGAAATGAATGAGGTTTAGCATATAGACCTTCTGCCAAGTTGATGGATAATGGCAGTGTTAAGGATAGCAGCAGATTCACAGTGGAATCTCAGAGCATCAATATACTACTGAAGTTAAACTACAAAACGACAGCCAACCTACAAATAAAAAAAAAAAAAATCATCATAATGGTAACTATCCACCGGGAAAGATTACCTACCTAATGTCAACCGCGATCTTAAATTTACTCAATGTTCACATTGATGAACAGATTCTAAATAAAAAAAATACACGACAAAAAAAATGAATTCGGAGTACTCAAAAAGGCATAGGAATATCGATGTGATTGTTTACGCTTAGTCCACTTTGTATATATTAAAGTGTATCGGACCAGGGTCATGACTAAGAGACTTCTTAGTGGATAGTTACCATTATGGTGATTTTGAATATTGATAATTACTTAAAATCTATATATCTAGTAGTTTGCAACGCTTCAGCCACTTTGTGGTTTCACTGTTGTCGAGTAGGCCAATAGCAAGAACATTAGCATGTGGCTCCAGTCTATCTTGGTATCTACTACTAAATGTTGGTATTTTATTCTCCACTATATCTATATGAAGATCTTCATGTATCTGTTTATTCCTGACAAACCCTAATGATA